TCTCTTGGCAGTTCATTCACTTCACCATGTATTGGACCCTAGGCTAGATAATTTCTACACTTTATGTCATTATCAGACCTATGATCAGGAGTGGTATTAAAATATATTTAACGAACTATATGGCACAAGGATTGGTCATTAAAACAGGCACTGGCTGTACATGTCCAGTAGTGCCGTCTAAGACCACTATGTCACTGACTTATGGACTAGTGATCTCCTTGTCAATCTGATCTAGCCGCACTGGCCTCATTACATTCTTGAACCCTTTTAGGGACACTCTCATTTCAAGGATATTTGTATTTGTTGTTCTTTTTGCTTTGAAAATCTCTTGCTAGATTTATATGGTTTGCACTTATACCTTCCTGCCTACTACTTATTCTAGATACTTTATTCATATTATTTTTTAATTTTTCTACTATCCTCAGTAGAAGGATCTTTGTCTAAGATCTTTGTCTCTTTTGCTCCTTACTGCATTTTCAGCATTGAGAAGAATGACACAGAGCATGGGTTCAATGATTATTTTGGAATAAATCAATCAACTAATCTATTCAACAATGCCCTGATGTAGATAACTTTTTCTTCATTTTACAAACCAGGAAGTTGTGAATCAGAGAAACAGTATAACTTGCAAAAGAATGCACAGACAGTAAATGGAGGAGCCTGAATTAGCCTGCATCTGTTTGATTTCAAAAGTAATGCTTTCCTACTGCGCCATGCTGCCCTCAAGGGGAAAAAAAGTTTCATGGTTTCTGCACGGTCCAACAAGGATGTGTGGGTTTTGTGCTCTCTCGAGTTCCCTTCTGGAACTATATTATCCAGCACCCATCTAAATTGCTGTTGACATGACTCATATTTATAATATTTGCATCTTGAGTCTACAGGGTATATACCTGGGACTTAAGGAGTGTAAAAACAAATGACAGAGGAAGAGGAGTGCTTAGACCCACAGGCACTGATTAACAATTGAAGGTAAAGAGAGAGTAAACCATTAATTATCTTAGGTTTCTACTTTGGAAAATTAAATAGGTTGTACATGAAACTAAAGACAGAGAAATAAGTTTATCAAAGTCTAAGAAGTATGCATGGGAGAAGTTTTGATACATTGTGCTTAAGATGCATTAGGACTAGTGAACAGAGGTATCTAAGTATCCAGTTGGTTACTGGCCCAATTCATCATGCCCTCCCCCAAGTCTCATTTTGATCACCTGTCCTATTATTCTGGTTCCCTATTTCCTGTTTCCCCAATTCACTGTCATCTCTGTCATCTGGTTGTTTTTTTTTTTTTTTTGAGATGGAGTCTTGCTCTGTTGCCCAGGCTGGAGTGCAGTGTGCGATCTTGGTTCACTGCAACCTCTGCCTCCCGGGTTCAAGCAATTCTTCTGCCTCAGCCTCCTGAGTAGTGGGATTACAGGCACCCACCACCACGCCCAGCTAATTTTTTGAATTTTTAGTAGAGGCGGGGTTTCACTGTATTAGCCAGGATGGTTTTATGTCTCTGGACCTTGTGATTTGCCTGCCTCGGCCTCCCAAAGTGCTGGGATTACAGGCATGAGCCACCAAGCCCAGCCTGTCATCTGTTTTTTAGCTTCACAATAACCCTGACTGTTCTTCTGGAGGAAGTCTGAATTCCAGAACACGATATTCAAAGGGACATGGCCAAAGGTGTTTGGTTTAAAATATGTCAGTAACTGAGACAATCCAATAGGGCAGGTGAAGATAATAATTTAAACCAAGATTCTAAGCAGGATGTAGAACTCATAGTCAAGTGAAAACCTGGGCCACACTTCAAGCCATCTGACCTTTAATAGGAGAATAAAAATCCGGAGAATTGAAATCTGTGAGTGGGTTAGAATCAAAGGCTCTGCCAAGCAAGTTAAGGATTAGGGAATTCCATTCTCAGAAGGGTGAAATGTACAGTATGGAAGCAGAGACGGGCACTCAGTTCTTTAAACCAAGTCAATTCAACAGGGAGAAGGGTTGGGAAAGGAGGAGAAAATGTCTGCACAGCTAGCATGCATGTTATTGGATCTGTGGCAGCAAGACAAATTCAAGTCTCTGACTCATGAGCTAGCTTATAGTTACTCCATGCTATAGCCACCACTGGCTTAGAAATTTGGTGGGGTTCAGCATTACAGGAAATGAAATAGCCAAGGGGACTCGAGTTTGCTGGTTAACATCAATCTTCGGCTCCGGCAATTCAGCTAAATAATATTCTCTCCAAGCTTTGGGCTTGGCTTTTATTGGACACACACACACACACACACACACACACACACACACACACACACACTTTCTCTCTCTCTCTCTCTCTCATTTGCAAGCTTGGAAGAGAAATCTGGGTATTCATTTTTAATTTAACAAATATTTAACACTTTATATGTAAATGATACTGTGGATAAACAAATGAGAAAAGGACAAAAAAAAAAGTCTACTCTCATGGCTTCTCTCTTACTGCCATAGCTCCAGTGACAGGCATGCTAACCATGCAGACATTTTCTTCTCTCTTCTTAACCTTTCTCCCTACTGAATTGACCTTGGTTTGCACAAGTGAGTAGTAATTTGCTAGTAGAATAAACATATGTATATATAATCTCTTGTGTATATTTTATATATATCATATAAATACTATGTGTGTGTGTGCACATGCACTATGGAGGAAAATAAAGCAGGAGCAGGCAGGAGTGCCAGAAATGGGGCGTGAAATTGCTAATTTAAATAGAGTGGTCAGAAAAGGTGAAGATCAGAAATTGAAAAGGTAACATTTAATCAGAGGATGAGAAAGTAAGGAAGCAATCCTGGCAGCTTATCGGAGCAAATGGGATTCTAGGAAGAGAGAACAGAAAGTGCAAGGGGGCCTCAGACAAGGGTGTGATCAGAACATTCAATTAAGTTGGAGAAATCAGTGTGGTTGGAGAGGAGGAGCAAGAGGAAAGAGAAGATGGAGGTCAAGTCAGACAGAATTAGACCCGACTGTGAAGTGCCTCATCAGCAACTTGCTCTAACTTTGAATGAAATAAGAGAGTTTTGAGCAGAGAAGTGCAGGATATGACTTATATTTTGCAACAAGGTGAAAAACAAGAAGGTCAGTTAGGCTATTGTAATAATGCAGGGGAGAGATGAAGACATCCATCTAGCAGAGTCGCAGTGAAGATAGAAGAAGCGATTGTACTCAAATTACATGCATTTAATTCACAGAAAATAGAATTTCCTAATAGACTGGATCTGGAGTGCCGAAGAGAAGCTAAGAAACACACTTAGGCTGGGCGCGGTGGCTCACGCCTATAATCTCAGCACTTTGGGAGGCCGAGGCGGGTGGATCACTTGAGGTCAGGAGTTCGAAACCAGCCTGTCCAACATGGCGAAACCCCATCTTTACTTAAAATACAAAATTAGCCAGGCATGGTGGTGCATGCCTGTAATCCCAGCTACTCGGGAGGCTGAGGCAGGAGAATCACTTGAACCTGGGAGGCGGAGGCTGTAGTGAGCCAAGATCG